TGGCACCCGCAGCACCTGGAGGGCCATCGGCCTCTGCCCACGTGGCCATGCGGACTGCCATGACCCTCCAGGAAGCAGGGGCCTGTGGGCCAGGACCAGGTGGGGGTGGGGTGCTGAGACAGGATGTGTGCCTGTGATCCTCCAGTAGGGGAGACAGGAAGGCCAAATGGGGTTTCTAGTGTCAGTCCTGGCACCCTTGGGCAAGAAGGGCTTAGGGGATCGGGAGGGCAGAAATGGACAGGGTCCCTGCGCCCAGGCTTCCTTTCCCACACACCCATCCCAGAAGAGATCTGGTGCCTACTGCAGCCTCAAGACTGAGGCTGAGACCCCAGTGGCCATGCGGATGCTAACTGTGCAGGCAGGCAGGCAAGCAGGGTACCAGACCCCTCCAACCCCTTCTGGGGTATGGGACTTTTTGGCCATCCCTTTCTCCCTCTGAGCCTGTTTGCTCATCTGCAGAAACGGGGATAATTTTAGAACTAACGAATGGCATGCCTGAGTCCTACCATCCTGCAACAAACTCTGTCTGGCCCTGACGCTCTCTTCTTTATCCCTGGCCACGGTCCCCAAATATGCGGGCATGTCATGAAGGTACCTTTGGTGAAGGCTGTGATCATCCAGATGTTTGTGCTTTGAGTAACTAAGTACATGGGGCCCAGGAGCATCTTATTAGTGTTTCCACCGCTTGTCCCCAGCTCTCCTGGAACAGGCTGGCTCCTCCGGGAACATGCCCCCAGGCATTCCTGGATTCACCCTTCTCCAATCCACAGCAAGAAGGGAGAGAGCAGCTGTGTATCTCCAAGCCCCAGAGGCAAGTGGAGGAGGGATTTCCCTCTCCCAGGTCTGTAGCCCATCCACCAGGTACTCCTCTCCTTGTCTGACCCTTTTGGCAGCTACCCTAAAGTGTAGCAGAGGGCCTGGAAGACAAAGAAGGGCAATCGATATGCACTTCTGGCAAGAAAGTAGCCCAGGGAGAAGACCAGAGAGGGCTGTACCTCTGGGGGGTGGAGGGGGTGCATGTGCCCCCAAAGGGTTAACAAGGCCCTAAAAATAACCTGCTCCCAGCAGGACCCGCTGATCAGAACCCTCCAGCCATCTGTTCCCATTTTCTCCTGTTCACATTGGAACATCTGAAACCGGCCCCAGAGCCCCAGCCTGATCCCAAAAATAGCCCCAGCCTGCCCAAGGAACAGGCCCGGCGGCTGGGCACAGGAGGCACAGCTCAACAAGGAGACATGGCTCAGGCCCATGAGCCCTGACCGCTAGGTCTATGAGGGCCTGGGGAGACAATCAAGAACTCTGACCACCCCTCCTCGTATCAGACCAGAGAGAGCACCTACCAGCCAAGCCCCGGCCTTAGACCCGGGAACCCCGGCATCACAAGCACTTTGGCCACAAATTAATCCCCAGAAAATGCCAACCACCTGTCAGCATGGTTCCCCCTCACCTGGGGGCACTGTCAGTCAGTCTACCACCCACTCCCATCCCAGGATCTTTGGGAGCCCTTGGCACCAACAGGCGTTCAACATTGTCCTCTGTCCCAGGGCACACAGGGTCAAGGCAAGACTCTCTCCAACACGACCAAATACCTAAGCAGCTCCAGGGGAAGGATTCTGGGATGTCCTGGAGATGCTAGGAATGCCTAGAGAAGTTTGCTCTCCTTCTGGGCTTGGAGAGACGGCCCCTCTCCCTGCCCACCTGTGGCCAGCAGTGCCAAGTATATCCACCTGGGCTTCTCTACCTGGGCACTGGCCCTTCACAGAAAGAAAAAAACATACCCAGGCAGGGACTCTAGGGGACCCTGAGTGTTGAGACAGGCCTCACAGGTGACATCCACGGCACAACTTCATGCTGCCACTTTTCTCCCCAAGAAAGGTCCCTGACCCCTAGTCCAGGAAGAAGAGGAGGTGACCACGGGAGCCATTTAAGGACAGAGTATCTTGTTCTGTCCAGTGAAAGAACAAAGCAGCAGGGAATGGATGGTGGGAGGGGTGCTGAAGCTCAACTGAGCAAACAGCCCGCCCTGAGGGAGGGAGGGAGGGAGGGAAAGAGGGAGGGAGGGAGGGAAAGAAGGAGGGAGGGAGGGAGGTAGGCTGGACTGGCCCTGAAAAGTATAAGTTTGGAGCAATAATGAAAGGACAGGTGCTCAGCCTCCCCCAGGCCCTTCTCCAGGTGTCAGCTGGCACCAACTGTGAGGAAACTGAGGCAGCAACAAGGTGAGTCTTGGAGTATCTTAAGAATCCAGGAAGGGGCTGGGAAAAGGCTTAGTGGTATAGTGCTTGACTTGCATGCATGATACCCTGGGTTCGATTCCTCAGCACCACATAAATAGAAAAGGCTGGATAGTGGCACTATGGCTCCAATGGTAGAGCGCTAGCCTTGAACTGAAGAGCTCAGGGACAGTGGCCAGGCCTAGAGTTCAAGCCTAACTAACGACCGACCAAAAAAAAAAGAATCCAGGAAGGCCAGGTCCTGATGGCTCACGACTGTAATCCTGGCTACTCAGGAGGCTGAGATCTGGGGATCATGGTTCAAAGCCAGCCCAGGCAGGAAAGTCCCTGAGACTCTTATCTCCAATAAACCACCAGAAAACTGGAAGTGGGGCTGTAGCTCAAGTGGTAGAGTGCTAGCTTTGAGCTGAAGAGCTGAGGGACAGCGCCCAGGCCCAGAGTTCAAGCCCCACGACCAACAAAAATAAAAAAAGAGTCCAGAAGTGTATAGCACTATGGGGGCTGTCCCTTCCCCTCTATCAATCCTTCCTCCACTCCAGTCCCTGGGGTGCCAAGAGTTCCAGCAGAACCTCTACTAGTAATAAGGAAGAGGTCTCTAACACTAATTGAGCATTTGCTCAAATCCTCCACAGGTATTATCTAGTTTAATCTTCAAAACAACACTACTAAAAAAGTACTCATTTCTTGTTCTTTTTATAAATGAGATGGCTATGTGACCAGACTTGAACCCCTGGGATAAAGGAGATCCTCCTATTTTAGCCTCAGCAGTAGTTAGAAGTACAGAACACCACCTCACCCAGTCTTAGAAAAGTACTATAGAAGAAAGAGGAGGCGAGGCACAGGGAAGTAGCTTGCCCAAGACACACAGCCTACAATCAGGAGACACTCCAGTGATTGGGTTCTTGGCCAGGGCACCACGCATGGAATCAGCTCTGCAACCCCAAGAGAATGAATGTCCTGTCCAGCCTCACCCTCATCCCACACACCGTCCCTCCATGCCTGCTGGGTACTGGGTCCCACACTAGAGGCCACACACAGTTCCTGCCTGGGGAGGAGATCAAAGAGAGCACACTGCTCTCCACCCCCTCCATGCAGGTGCCCAGCCTGGCCCTGAGCTCCGACAGAGCAAAGTTCCCGGGCCTCCCACTACTCAGCCTCCCCCTCCCCCAAAGGTTACCTCTGCTGACATCCAGGTCCCTAACAGTCAGCAAGGTCACAAGGCAAATGTCCAGGACAACTGCTCTGGCCCCCTGCTGAGTGATGCCCTAGGCTAGGAATTAGTCAGCTGCCCCCCCTGCCCCAGGTGGGGGTCAAAGGTCAAGTGGGACTGGCCTGGAGTCCAAGCCCTGCTTTTTCCCCCATGCTCTGCCATACCTGTCCTCTGCTCCCCATTTTTTTCACTGAGTTGGAGGTACAGCAACTTCCTCCCCGTCTCTGAGGGGTAGTAGCCCGTATCAGGGAGAGGAGGGGCAGATGAAGAGCCCAGAAGCCCCCACACCAGGGAGAAGCATCTCCTCCTGGCCCCTGACTTCCCCCAGCTCTCCCGAGTCAGACAGGAGCCAGGCCCAC